ACGTTTAAAAGTAACAAATCTTTACACTGCTTAACTTATTTATTTGGGGTGGGATGCAGAGGAACTCTTTTCATAATTTCTCACGGATACCGTCTCGTCCAAGGTGTGGATGGTGGGAAGAATGTACATGACATATTGATGATGAACTAAAAATACATTGGATATTTTGCACCATTTAATATTATAAAAGTATTAAAAGACCAATAATTGTCATATAGATCATTATTGTGTTGAATGTAGTATTAAATTACTCCAAGACAATACTTCATTGTAAATCATTGTTTTTCCACTTTTATTTTTTTGTCAGTACCTGATTAAGATTAAATGCTAAAGATATTTCCTCATACATTTTTTTCTGAGCAATTAAAAACATAATTTATTTTTTTAGTTCACTTGACCTTGGATTTTGAGGACACACAATTTAAAATCCATAACTGTTAAACATGTCTAAAATTGTGTTCAGATCTAGGAAAAATATTGCTCTTCATTCTAAAATTTAGGATCATTAAGATTTCTGAAAATGTTGTGGCATTTTGTCTAATATCCAGAATAATGGGAATGGTGACTGTGAATATCAGGATGCTTGACATTTCTGGTATATGTATGAATTAAAATTAATTTCTAAATTGACATAAGACAGACATTATTTACAGTATAGAAATTGTTCTTTTTTTGTGGTTTATTTTTTTGTTTCTTTTTGTTAAAAAAAGGCTATTTTCGACTTCTTCATTAAAATGACTAGCCCAATTGCTTTGATATTTTATATGTAGACTCCTAGGGTAGACCCTTGACAGATTTGTTTATTTCATGATGATAATTTGACTTTTCTAATATACGATGTTCTGAGATAAACAAAATATGATGTTTTGTTTTCTTTGTAGGCAACCAACCAGTGTATGGTTTCAATGCTACCACCAATGTGGAGTATTGCAGAGTCAGTAAATTTGGATGTATTCTTAAAATTGAAGATAAATCATTTCTCATTCAATTTCACAGAGACTATGGTAAGTTATATATATCATATGTATTATTTCACATATGGTGGAACAGTGAATGATATCACATGTATTATTTCACATATGGTGAACAGTGAATGATATCACATGTATTGTTTCACATATGGTGGAACAGTGAATGATATCACATGTATTATTTCACATATGGTGGAACAGTGAATGATATCACATGTATTATATCACATATGGTGGAACAGTGAATGATATCGCATGTATTATATCACATATGGTGGAACAGTGAATGATATCGCATGTATTATGTTCACATATGGTGGAACAGTGAATGATATC